GATGAGGAAGTTTTGCATTATTTGACCAGAGTTGAAGTGACAGAATTTGAAGATATCAAATTAGGTTACAGAATAGATTTTTATTTTGATGAAAATCCTTACTTTGAAAATAAAGTTCTCTCCAAAGAATTTCATCTGAATGAGAGTGGTGATCCGTCTTCAAAGTCCACTGAAATCAAATGGAAATCTGGAAAGGATTTGACAAAACGTTCAAGTCAAACGCAGAATAAAGCCATTAGGAAGAGGCAGCACGAAGAGCCCGAGAGCTTCTTTACTTGGTTCACTGATCACTCAGATGCAGGTGCAGATGAGCTAGGAGAAGTCATCAAGGATGACATCTGGCCCAACCCACTGCAGTACTATCTGGTTCCTGACATGGATGACGAGGAGGCCGAGGGAGGACGATGAGGAGGAGGAGGAGGAGGAGGGGCTAGAGGACATCCACGAGGAGGGTGATGAGGTCGAGGGCGAGGAGGATGATGACGAAGAGGGAGAGGAGGGCGAGGAAGACAAAGAAGAAGATGACTAACTGAATACTGACGGATTCCAACTTTCTTGTTTTTCCTTTTTTTTTATTTTTTTTTATTTTTATTTTTTATTTTCTCCAGTCCCTGGGAGCAAGTTGCAGTCTTTTTTCCCCCCTTGTGCTCAGTCGCCCTGTTCTTGAGGTCTCTCTTCTCAAACACCATGGTTCTCGACTTAACTTTGTAGGGAGAAACCTTGCAGAATACAGTGGGACAAGGATCTCCACAGCATTCTGGTCTCAATTCATTTCGATCCCCTCCTGTCTCCACAAACTTTTTGGAATCAACACCACCGTGTTCTGTGGGAAAAAAGAAAACTCTCCGCTCTGCGCTCTTCGCTCTGCTGGAAGCTGGAGGGTGCTCGGCCCCTGTGTAGTAGTGCATAGAATTCTAGCTTTCTTCCTCCTCTCTGTATATTGGGCTCAGAGACTATACTGTGTCTCTATGTGAATATGGACAGTTAGCATTTACCAACATGTACCTGTCTACTTTCTCTTGTTTAAAAAAAGATTTTAAAAATTTTTTAAAAATGGGGTATAGAAGGTCAGCAAAGGGTGGGTTTGAGATGTTTGGGTGGGTTAAGTGGGCATTTGACAACATGGCTTCTCCTTTGGCATGCTTAATTGTGATGTTAACAGACATCCTTGCAGTTTAAGATGATACTTTTAAAATAAAATTCTCTTGATGAAAAAAAAAAAACCTCATTGTGGAAAACATCTGAAAAAACTGTGAAATAGTTTGACCAAACTAAAATTTAAGTAACACTATACCTACCCACTACAAAATGTGTATTTCAGGTGCACATGGAAGATAAGGTGATAAGTCATAAAACTGTCTCATTAAATCTCAACCGATTGAAAAGAGAGAAACTACTGCTCCTTCACTCCTACAGAAATAAATACTTACAACAGAAAAAAAAAAAATCACAATTAACTGGCCTGCACCTTGCAAAATATCAAAGTCAAGATCCACAAAGGAAGGCAGAAGATATTTTCCCAAGGATGCTAAGTAGATATGACAGTTAAATTCAATCTGTGATTCTAGATTGAATCCTTGACTGGGAAAAAATGAGTAGTTATTAAAAAAAAAAAGTCACTAGAATAAAGATAAAATCAACTGGGTTGATTTGAGCATCAACAATGAATGAAATAATAGTCTTACATCAATACTGAGTCCCTTGATTAAATAAGAATCCTTGTTCTAAGGAGATATGCACTGAAATTTTTAAAGATAAAGGAACATTATTATCTCTGATTTAATTTCAAATAGTTCTGGAAAAAAATAGCATGGATATGACAGAAAGTGTGTATGTGTGAACACAAAAGCGGGCCTGACAAAAACTCCTGGTGGATCCGGATAAAGAATTTAGAGCAATTCTTATAACTTTTCTGTGTGTTTTAAATTCTGTCACATAATCTGGAACAATTTGAGCTAGTTTGTACATATATAAAAAAAAAAATTAAACCATGCCACCCAGCGCAGCCCCACAAGCTAAGAGTTTAATTACATAAGGAATCAGATCAGGAACATCTGTTAACATTCCGCACACAAATCTACCTACCCTCAGATCCAGCTGACATCCTGTTTACAAGGAAATTAGACCCAGTCACCTGGCTCCAATAAAACAGGAGCGAAGGGTTAAGGGAGTCTTAAACACAGCCACACACAAAAGAGAAACTGTGACTTTGGAACCAGTATCTGACACTGACAAGATTTCTTTTGGTCTCTTCAGAAAAGAATCCAAAGCAGTTTTCCTCCGCAACATCACTCCCCTGCCCGTGGCCTGGCGGGTCACCAGTCTGGAGCACCTGGGAGAGGACTTCACGCTGTCCGAGATGCACGGCCTCATCCTGCCCGGGACGGAGTATGCCCTGCATGTGCACTTCCAGCCCTCCAAGCCTGTCAACATCAAGAAGCCTTTTCGGCTGGAGGTGAGGTGCCACACATCGCAGACTCGATGTGTATGCTGGGTTCACACGCAGAGACCCAGACGCAGCCGGTGTCCCTGTTACATGCTCCCATCTGACCCCCTTTTTGATAACCCCGACCTGTACTAGCTTGTTCTGCACACAACTGCGAAATTCAGCCGCAGTGTCGCTGTAACTAGGTAAGCGTTCGATTCCTGACGTCACACGGCAGGCCTGCTGCTCACCCATTAAATTCCTACTTCAGTAACTACCACCCTCCCTGTTGTGCTTCCAGTAGGTGCTGGTGAATCATCCTTAATCCCCTCCCGCTGCTGACAGTGTCCCTTCCAGCCCCTTGCCAGGTCTGCCTCCCACTATATCTCCTCCCTGTCCGCTTCTTTGTCTCCACTGCTGCCACCCTCCTCTGCTAGGCCGCTTTTTCCCTCTCTCACCTGGACTTCTGCAGAGGCTTCCTAACTGAATTCCCTTGTTGCATCCCTACAAGTGTCCAGAAAGATCTCTGCAGTGACAACTCAGGTCACTCTTCCCTCCCTTAGAGGACTTGCTGGCTTCCCACGGCAGTAAAAATAATGCCCAGTATGCTCGCCTGCTTCTGCCTGACTTCATTCCTGCATCTCACTCCCCCTCGCCCTTACGGATTGCCCCACTCACGCTGTCTGAGCTCTTTCATGCCTCAGCCCCTGACGTTGCTGCACCCCGGCTGGGAATCTTGTACTCAGTGCGGAGTTGGCACCCACTTTAAGATTCCCTGGACATCCAGGGGGCTTGCCTAAGCATCCTGCTCGGGGACTCCCTGGGGTGCAGCCGCTACCATCACCATCGCCCATCCTTCAGAGCCCCAGCCTTTCTGACTTCACTCTGCTTCTTTCTTTCCTTTCTAATGTGAACTCCTTTGGGGCAGGATCTCTGCTGGTTTATTCACCTCTCATCAGGTTCTAAGCTGGCGTAGCAAACCATCACCAACTGGATGGCTCAAACAACAGTACTTAAGCTTTCACAGTTCCAAAGACAGGAAGTTGGAGATCAAAGTGTTGGCAGAGTCAGACTCCTTCTTCAGGCTTTAAGGAAGCATCTTTCCTTGACACTTCAGCTTCTGGTGGCTCCTTAGAGTCCTTTAACACCCCTGACCAATGATGGTGAACCTTCTAGAGAAGAGTGCCCAAATGGCAACCCAAAACCCACTTATTTATCAAAACATGCCACTACCGCAATTAAACCTGAATACTGAGATTTTCACTTAGAAAAAACAACTCATATATTAACATCTTTTGTCTTAAAAGAAAGACAAATGGTACACAGACCAAAGGGTCTTCACCTCTGCTCTAGTTATTGCCTCCACCATCACAAGCCTTCTCCTATCTGTGTCTTTCTGTTTCTGTCCTTTTTGAGGATGCAGCTGAACCTCTGTATGTGTACACTCCGCATTCACAGATTGAGCCGGCTGTGGGTACATAAATTCATTCAGAGTAAACAGCAAGAGGAAAAGGCAAACCTTGGGTCAGCCCAATTTTCTCTGTGGAACATTAGCAAATGTGTGTTGAAAGAAGAGATGGAAGCCTGGCGTGGTGGCATATCCCTGTAATTCCAGGTCTCTGGGAGTCTGAGGCAAGAGGAGCAAGAGTTGAAGCCCAGCCTGGGCCACCTAACAACAGCTGCCTCTAAAGTTTGAAAAAAAAAATCTAAAAGAGTCTAGGGATGTATCCCAGTTGAAAAGGCCCTGGATTCAATCCTCGGTAGCAAAAAAAGAGAAAAGGTAGAATTCTGAATTAAAACTTCAGTTTAGTGAGAACCTCTCCTTTCATGTTCTTGGGTTCTTGACACCCAAAGAATTTGGAATGACCAACTGGTGATATAGTGTTTCAGCCTGACGGTCCCACTGCCTAGCGCCTCCTTTCTTGATAAGCAGGCCCTTTATGGCCTCCCGGTTAGTCTCCAGAGTCAGCAGTCAGGTGCAGTGACAGCTGGCACCAATCCAGGAATTCCTCGGGACGGAGAGGGAATCCTCAACAGAGATGCCTAGGCAGGTCAGTGAACACCTGGAACCCCTCCCTATGGGTCTAATGATAACTGTTCACAGGACGTTTGGAATTTCCCAAAGAGAAATATTAAACACTATTTTGTATGAAAAATCTAGTACTTTTTCTACAGACTGAGTCACAGAGACAAAATGATTCAGGTTTCTAGGATGAGCAGGATGCCTTATGTGAAAAGGTTTTCCACTTCAAGAAACAGAAAAATGCTCTTCAGGTTTACTTGATTTAAGAGTTCCAAAAAGACCTTCCCACAGTGTCTGCTCGGCCCAAGCTTCAGGAATGCAGGGGCAAGCTCATGAAGCACACTCAGTAAGAGGACAGATGACGGTGTAGCTCCTCCCCATCACTACACTGTCTGCCCCACCACCCAGTATCTCAGACTGGATAGGAAAAGCACTAACCCAACCAAACGTACAGTGAGCTAGATGCAGCTCCAAAGCATCCCCTCCCAGCCCCCCTGCATGAGTCCCTCTGCATGTCACAGATTTCAGCCTCTGAGTACCTCATGGGTCTCGCTTTTACTGAACAAGTGTCTAACTCTTAACAGGTTTTAGATGCAGAAAATCTTGTTGGAGTCATGCAGATTGAAAATGTCCTGATCTTTGCAGAATCCTATGACATCACACTGGACATCACCTTTCCCAAAGGTCTGAACATCACCCTCCCCAAAGGGCTCCCTTCTAGGAAGAGTTCAGGAACTGCACCCTTTGTACAGTATAGTTCTCTGTGAAGGAGGGCCAGGATGTTGTAGGGTTGTGGTGGATATTGGAAGGGGAAGCTCAGTTTTGAGAAATAGTAATGCAAATTCAGAGCAATGTCAGCCACACTGCCATAAATTCTGATTTTTTCAACCAAGGATAGCAAGAGGTAATAATAAATATAAAATTTGCAGAGCTCCTCATTTGAGTACACATCACTTGTACTCACTTCTGCTTGCATTATTTTTCTACTACTGCCAGATTATATTGCCCCACATGTTCTGGCTTAAAGCAATACACATTTATTATCTTACAGTTTTGAAGTCAATGATCCAAAATGGGTCTTGCTTGGCCATGACCCCTGCAGCATGCTCAAAGCCAACACTGCAGAGCCAACCATTCTTACACAGCCATTCTCAGGTCCCCTACTTCTGCCCTTCTACTTTTAAGGACCCTGTGATTACATTTGGCCACAAGAATCATCCATATTAATCTCCATGTATTGAGTGCAGTTGACTAGCAACCCTACTTCCACATACTACCTTAATTCCTCATTGCCCCATGAGGAGGCCTATCCTCCAACTCCAGGGATTAGGAGGAGTTGACCTGGGAGAGAAGTATCATTCTGCCCACGATGCTGTCCTAGCACCTGGATTACAGCTGTCTTTTGACCATGTAGAAGCCCACATTAGCTTAGACGCCATTACTTTTATAGGCAGCACTATTTATAATCATGAAATATTAGAGATAACCAATTATCAATAAAGGAAGGATGTTGTTGTAGAAATAATAATGTTATTGTGGGATGGCCATATCATAGAATGCCATGCAGCCACTAGATCATATTTAGGAGGAGTTTTAATAACTCGGGGAAGCCGGATATGGTGGCACATACATGAAACACCAGAACTCTGGAGGCTGAGGCAGGACGAACATTGGGAGTTTGGGGCCAGCATGGGCTACAAAGTGAGCTCAGGGCCAGCCTGAGCTGCATAGTGAGACCCTGTCTCAAAAAATAAAAATAATAATTTGAGGAAATAGTTATGATGTTTAGTGTTAAACAAAGTAACATAAATTTGTATGTAATATCACAACTCTGCCAATTGTGCACTTTATAAAAATCCTTTAATACATGAAGCCTCAGCTAAAGATAAGACAGGGTGGACACTGAGCCAAGGGTAGGTTCAGTTACGAGGTGCTCTTCCAGCCCCCAAGTTTCCAGAAGACCTGTCACCTCAGTTTTTCCATATGAGCTTCTATAGGAAGCTCCCCTGCTCCAGTCCGTCCACCCCTTCACTCACTCCCTCCCTGGCCCTGGCCCTGGCCCTGGCCCTGGGCTCTGCAGGAGCTGAAGGACTGGACTTCGGTACTGTGAAAGTCATGGAGGATCTGAAGCAGCCCCTTCAGCTGAAGAACCGCGGGAAGTACGAGATCATGTTCAGGTAAGCTGAACCACCTGGGCATGTGGCCATCCACACCCACTCTTAGCCATGAGCAGCCACATCAGCCTGTGAATTACTTTTAATGAAGCAAGAGGCAAGCACAGGGACCAGGGTTCAACTCCTCTTCCCACGTGCTGCCAGCACCAGCCCTGACCCCGGGGCACACTCAGCCTATGAACAAATCGGGGCGTGGTGGCTCACACCTGTAATCCCAGCACTTGGGAGGCTGAAAACAGGAGGATCACTATGAGTCTGAGCTGCATAGTGAGACCCTGTACCAAATGCATAAATGAAAAAAAAAAAAATGAAGCAAGAAAATCTTTAGACCTGTTTCTGCTTTTGGCCTCATTGAGTTTAAATTCACAGAATTCTGATGGTGGAAAACAGACATTGTCATACCATTCCCAACTCCGCAGCTCAACCAGGGACCTCCTTGTCAGCCTCTGAATGTAAATTAAACTGAGCTTTTGTTTGTCCTTCAGCTTTTCTGTGGACTCTGTGAAAATTATGTCAACCAATGTCAATTCCATGATCTCAGTCCTACCTCAGAGGGGCTCACTGTCTGCAACAGAAAAGCCCATGAATGTCCAGGTGTTCTTTCGCGCAAAAACAGAAGTGAAGCTTGAGCAGCAGCCCATTCTGCACTGCCAGGTGAGAGTTAGAGGGACGGGCTGGCTAGTGGCAGGACTGTGGGCCTCTTGCTGCAGACGCCATCCATTCATCCACGCTGGGGGGCGGGGCAATGCCTGGGTGGCAACCAGACAGGACATGCCAGAGTTTTTCCCCAGATAGCAGGCATAGGTGCATCGGGGGGAAGTGAGCAGAGTCAGAATGAGAGGAAATGTGCCCCAGAGATAAGGAGGCTGTACCCCACCATCAGATGCCCATGAAGGGGGAACTGAAGACAAGAGTCAAAGCTGTTCTGTGTTGACCTTTGGCTACTACATATAATGTAGCTGAGAGGTTAAATGTATCTTTGAAAATTGGGATTTTTGTTTTAGTGATAAGCTGGTCCTCCAAAAGCATAAACTTAGCCTCGACATCACATAGGATCCCAGTGCCCTGGGCCAAATTTATATATATTTCCTAGTTTTTGTTCTACTCTTTGTACAAATTGGTGTACCTCTGCGCACCAGAAGAAGGAAGATTCGCTGCCCTCCCAAATTGGCCAAATTGCAAATAAACTTATTTTTGCATTTTTATGGGCTTTCTCTTGGTGGCAGGCAGGCAGGCAACCAACCCAGACAGCCAGGGCTCAAGTTCAGTCCTGACCAAGCCCTGCTGGGGACAGTAAGGTCTGTTAGTGTTTGCTCATATTATGGCTAATGCAGTAACAGAACAGAGAGAGAAGGACATACAGAGAATGACATGAAGAACCCAGCCTGACACCAATGATGAAAGCTGATAATGAAGAAGATAATCGCTGTACCGTTGCCAGTGACTACATCTTCCAATCCTTCTTCCCTTTCTAGATTATTGAGCCCAATCTTGCGGAAGGGGGTGAGATCACTACCAGTATCCCCATTGCGTTTTCTGTGAATGCAGTGTATTCCAAGTTCAACATCAGCCCCTCCTCGGTCATCAACTTCGGGGCTTTGATCTGCGGCACACGCAAGAGCTCTACCATCAGCATAGAAAACCAGGGTATTACTGACTTCAAGTACGCCCTCTACAGGCTCACCGGGGAGAGCCCCATTCACCAAAAGAAAGCGTAAGACTAGTGTTCTCTCTCTCTCTCTCTCTCTCTCTCTCTCTCTCTCTCTCTCTCTCTCTCTCTCTCTCTCTCTCTTTCTCTCTCTTTAGAGAAGGGTCTACAGGGTGTTCAGGGTCTCACTACCAGATCAGACTCATAGTGATCCACCTGTTTACAGCCTCCCAAGAGCTGGGATTACAGGTGTGCACCACCACGCCCAGCCTCGATTGCTGTCTCAGCACGCCCCGGGGCAGGGCCAAAGCACAAACCCCAGGATCAAACTATTCTCTTAATTCATGCCATTCCCTACTAATTTGTGCTGTGTATTTTACAAAGAGCTTTACATATTTTGCCTAAATCCATCCAATCCTCTTTTGTGAATGAGGACTCTAAAGTTTAGAAATGGCTCATCCGGGATTATACAAGAAATCACCGGCCAATCTTGGTTGAGAATTCACATCTTTTGATCCCAGATTTCATATATTTTCTAACTGCTATCAAATACAGGATACTTTTTAGTTGAACAAATATAAAGTCTTCTCTATGGGAGTCTGTTGTCCTGCTGCTTCTGAGGTACTAAAAGATTTACTAGTAAGTGATGGTCCTACTATTCTGTAGGATATCAAGAGACTACTGTAACAGTAAGCTAGGCTGGGGAAATAGTTCAGCGGTTCAGGTGCCTACCTGGCAAGCACAAGGACCAGGATTCAATCCCTGGTACCGCATGCCGTGCCGACTCCGGAATCCCGAGAATACCATGCTGCCCTGAAACTGGGTGTGGTGGAGCACACCTGTAATCCTAGTCCTGCAAGCTGAGACAGGAGGATCACTACTAGTCTGAGCTACATAGTGAGACCCTGTACCAAATAAATAAAAGAGGGGCTGGGGATTTGGACCAGTGGTAGAATGCTTGCCTAGCAAGCTGGAAGTGCTGGGTTTAGTGCTAGGCACCAAAAACAAAAAAATAAATAAATAAACCTTCCAAATAAATAAAAGACTAAATAATTCCCCATGCACTACTTGCCAGTGAACTCAGGTAAGTACCTAAACATTACTTCTTTTTTTTTAGTGAGATTTCTGTCATTATAATACCTTACATAGGCACCTTAGAAGCAGAAGGGATTTGCTTTGGCTTGCAATTTTGGCCAGTCTGTGACAATGTGGCCCTGCTGCCATGGGCTGCGAGGAAGCAGCACTTCATGGCCAGCGCCCATGGCAGGACAAAGCTGCTCCCCTCCCGGCCAGTAAACAACAGGGAGCTCACAGAAAACTGGTGCAGTGGTGCACCTCTGTAATCCCAGCTACACCACAGCCAGAGGCAGAAGAATCGTGAGTTCAAGGCCAGACTGAGCTACAGAATAAGACCACATCTCAAAAAAAAAAAAAATAGATAAATAAAAATGCATGCATAAAGATTAGATTTCTTTTAAAGAGAGACAGAAAGAGAAAGAGAACAAGAAAGAAGAAGGGAGGATGAGGGAAGGGAAGGGAAGCGAAGGGAAAGAAAGGAGGAAGAGCTGGGGTCCCACAATCCATTAAAGGCACACCTCCAGTGACTTCAGGACTTCCCAAGAGTGCCACCCTGGTGACCAAGAACCAATCACATGGACCTTTGGGCACACTTACCAAACCAGACCATTTTCCTAATAATAATTTTCAACATCCTGATGTACCATATTTCCTAATTAGTGCATAGTTTCCTTACCACTGTCTGATGGGCATAGTCAGTGATTACTAAGCCAACTGCCACTCTGATACCCTCTTGGGTCCCTGTACTACTTAAGAGAAAGGACCTCATAAACAGACCTACAGGTGGTGTCTCATCCCTAGCTAAACCTGAGGGTGAGCTCTTGCTTCTTTAATCAGGACCGGACACTTCAGACATGCAAGAGCCCGGGAGAGCGAAAACTTCCTCAAGTCTAAATCAGCCAAGTTCTCAGACCCAATTCAGAAAGAAACAAACATCACAGGCCAGGTGAGTGTCCTTCCTTACTCAAGACCTCAGGAAGATCACCTTCCAAATAGCTTTCACCACCAAACATCTCCCAAAGGTAACAGGTTTTAAACCTACTGTGATAGGAACATTAAGTCATTATATTAAAACCTCACTTTTGTTTTAAGTTCAGGCACTACAGTCTTTAATTTGGATATCTTCTGTTGCTTTAAAACTTCCTTAGACTCACCCAATGCCTTAAAACTGTTCCTACTCTTCATATAATTTTGATCAAACATCATTTATTTATCAGACAGAATCGTGGAGAGAAGCCCTCCTCTGTATGGCTTATCCAGGAATGCCTGGTACCTAGGACAACTTGTGTGTGCAGTAGGTGCTCAGGAGACAGTGACTTAGGCTAACAGCAGCCTCTGAGAATGGCTATATAGTCACCACACCATGCCAGGGGCCTCATTCCCACAGACCTGCTGAAGGAGTGTAGTATGTCAGCCTTTCTGGCCACCTGTAGCAGCCGTGAAGACAAGCTAGAGAAGTTCTTGACACCCTGAATGATGCAGAGCTGGCATCTGAGCATTATCAGAATAAATCACTTCCTAGTGCAACCATACTATAGAACACACCCAAAGGGATTGAGTAGGGGAGAAAGCACAGGCCAATGGGAGGAGTGTGGCTCCAAGAGAAAGAGGGGCACAATGTGGTTGAAATTCAGCCCATCAGAACTAGATCCCCACCCACCATGTGCTAGACTCCCAGGATGGCATAGTGCCTGCCCTTAGAGGGACATCCCATGTCAGACTGCCCCTTGGCAGCATTCTGAAACAGCAAGAGGAAGGAAGATCCTTAAGAAGCAGAGGTGCACGTGCTAGCTGTGCCTCTCTGGGAGCGGGGAGCACTGGTTATCAAGCCCTGGGGAGCAAGTGAAGCACCTCACCAAGAGCATGCACTGGCATCGTGCCTAGGGGAGGATGTCAGCCCCTCACTATTTGTGCCAGGGTTCCTAGAGCCATCAGGGAGTCCGAACAGACCCCGCTGCCAGGATATGAGTCCAGTGAGAGAGCACTCACACTACAGGTGACTTTACCACTCCCACCTCGGCAGCAAGAACCAACAGAACCCTCGAACCTGGTCTCCCAAGACTCCAGACAGCTTTCTCAGAGCACGAGGAGTCTCATCTGTATGTGCTGCAGTTCACATTGCAACCAAGGGACCACTAAAGCCTTCTGCTCTGGGTTTTATATTTCCGAGAAAGCTTGGGTCTTCAGAGGCTAAAGCCCTGTGAGGCATCTGGGAAAGATGAGGACAAAGCCTAGGCTGCCAGAGACAATTCCTCCTTGTCTCAGGATAATGCGTTGTCAGCACAGTCTACAGTTAGCCTGCCAACTTCGAGTGCGAGGCACAGAGCCAGGGACGCCAAGGACAGACATCCGTTCAACTCCTCCCACACTAACAGTCCACTTCCTTAACCTACTCCTGAAGTGCATGCTATGTTCTGTGCTTCCCATGTATTCTTTCATTTAACCCTCTAGCTCCTCTGAGATCAGGAGTTTTTGCTCCACTTTAAATACACAGACCCAGAAAAGCCCTTTGTCTAAGTTCAGACACTTTGTGTATCAGAGGGTTGGGATTCCAATCCAAGAGTATCTAACTCAAAAGTCCATAATCTGATTTTGTTTGTTTGTGCAGAACTGGGGATTGAATTCAGGCCCTTATTCTACTGAGCTATCTCCCCAGCCCCAAAAGTCCATAATCATAAATGCCACTCTAGTCCTCATCCCTCTTCTGCAGGATCCTCGCCTGAATGTCTGTGATGTCCGTGTCCTTAAACACTGGGCTTTAAACGATGAGTTCCTTAACTCTAGGCTCGGAAGAAATGTGCAGAAAGATAGTTCTGAGAGAGCCCCACCAGGTGGACCCCAGGCCCTGTCCCAGCTCTGGTGACCATGTCACTGCCTGCATCTCTCCCACCCTATCCTACAGGCTCGCTTTTCCCACGGTATGTTCACTGTGTACCCTGGGTTCGGCTCCATATCTCCCGGAGGACAGCAGATTATCACAGTTGATTGTGTGGCTGACCCCGTGGGAAAGTGTGAGGAGTTTTTGGCCATCGATATCTCTGACCGAGACCCCAGAGAGCATCCCGCCGGCATTCCTTACACTCTGCTTGCTGAAGCCTGCCTGCCAGGTACTGCCACTCGGACTGGATAGTACCCCTGCTTTTGTAACACCTCTCTCCCTCCCAGACAAAGTCTTCTAAAAGATGCCTAGCAGATAAGGCTGGCTGCTTCCTTTGGACCTCAGATCTTCCTCTCGGGTGTTAGCCATATTTTGCCTTAAAGCCTTATAAGCACGCACACATAGAAGAGGATGTGCCACTGCAAACTCCTGACTTTGTTGGGCCCGCCCTGGATTCTCAAATAAAACGTGTTATTTATCTGAGAATCCTGGTGACACAGGATGTACTGTAAGACCCAGGAACACTGAGTCCTGCAAATACCTAAGCCATTCTGTGGGCTATTCATGCACAGAGAAGAACTCCCAGTAACTAAGAACACTGAAGGTTTTTTTTTAATTAATTTACTGATAAAGAAATAGCAATGAGACAATTTCAAAACAGGTTAGTAGGACAGTTACAATAATTAATACATTGCATATTGTTGTCTTCGTAGTAGTTATTCATAGTACAAGATGATATCTTGTCTAAACACTATTAGTACAAATCTTTCTTCTCATTGAAATAAGAGAAAGTAGCTATATATATATATATATATATATATATATATATATATCTCCTAACTATTCTGTATATACAGATATATGTATGTATTCTTTCACTACAAAATAGTCCTTCCTTTATATCCCCCTTTTTTGTTTACTTTTGTCAGAGATAGGTATTCTATTGCCATTCAAATATTCAAGTAGGTGAGTGAATTCAGCAAAGTAATCCAATATAGTCCAGTAGACCATAATAGTAGTGGGTTATCTGTAGGACTGGCAATGTCAGAAGTTGTTGACTTGAGCCATTTATAGCTCAACATATTAATATGGCTTTACTTTTTATACCTTGTGTTTATACTTTTCTGCTGGATGGTTAAGAGCAAAATAAAGCAAGACCTATATCACAAAAAGTGTAACTTTTGTATCTGACAAGGTCAGTCAAATCCCCTCAGGATTTACCCTGAAACCAGTTTGTAGATCTTTTGTCAGTGTCAGCCATCTGGATGAGTCACAGCCATTGTTTGACCAATTTGCTCTCTGTGAAAGCCTGAGAAAATGTTTTCTCCCCAGGTGACTCTCCTTAGGCATACTCTACATTGTCGATCACTTTCCTCTGTGACTCCATAATCTCCTTGAACAAAAAATTAGTGCCACCACTGAGTTACAGGATGTTACAGTACAGTTCTCTTAAGTCCTGAGTCTTCATTGACCTTGAAAGGTTAGGGCCAAAATATTGGCTATCCTTATAGCCGTTCTTTTTTTCTCTAATTTTTTGGTCTGCAAACTTAAGTTGTTACCCTTCAGAAGAGAAGCTTAATGATATTAAGAAGAAGCTAGAGATCCCCTGGAGTCTCCGCCAAAGCAGGCCAAGCACCACTTAGCTCCTAAGCCCACACCAGACCTTGATCTCACCACTTCTTGCCATTGGCAGGAAAAGACTGATGGAGATTCGCAACCTTTTGCAAGGAATGTGCAAAACAGAAAGAAAGAACCAAATTCATGCCATCTCTCACAGTCCCTTGTGTGGATTTCCCTGCCTTTCCTCTGTTAGGCTTGTCTGAATCCAAATATCCAGATTAAGAACAATAGGCAGCTGGCAACCAGCATCATCTCACCATCTCCCCTCCACTCCCCAGCCTTCATGACTGACAACTACACTTCAATATTTGAGGAGCACCACATCTGCACCAGCCTCAACCTGCAGCACATCCTGCAGACCACAGAGAGTGGGGGGCTGTTTGTGGAGGATGAGAACAAGTTCATCTTTTGCAACATCCTGGTGGGCCACCAGGCCAAGGCTCGGTTCAAGATCAGCAACATGGGCAAGATTCCCTGTGATATCAGCATTGTAGTTAAGCCCATCTCCAACAAGGTGAGAGGCTCCAATGGGCCCCAACCCAGCATGGCTAGAGAGCCCTGGGAGCCCCTGTTTGGGAAATTTGTACCCTAATAGGATGTATCTGGTTCCTGCGCCTTGCTCAAAGTTCTGAGAGGCCGCAGGGCTCCAAGCTGCCCGTGTGTTGCAGTGGCTGTCTCCTCTGAGTAACTGTACTAAGCTGATACATACAAAGGCAGAACTCAGTCATCCACTGCACAGTGTCTGAGCCAGACAAAGCAATGAGAGCGCACACTTGAGAAGAGCCACTTCTTCACACATTCTTGCCTCAATGTTGATATTCTTGTTGGAAAGACTTGTGGATGTCTAGCTGCAAGATTAATGGAGAAAGGCAAAGAGTTATTGCGCCCACTCCAGAGTGACAGAGCTACGCTAAGTGACTTACACTTACTGTCCCATCTCACTTTCCCAACAACTTTGAGGCTTTGTATTAGACTCTGTTCTACAGTTAGGGAAACTTAGGCTCAAAAGAGCTAGATTCCTCCCCTAGGTCCCAGAGCTTGAGAAAATACAGCTAGACTTAAAGCCAAGCCTCATCTATGTTCAAGTAAGTAATAAGTGCACATCTCTGAGGTTGCTGTACTCTAAATTCCTTCTCTCTTGGATCCTTTGCTCACAGAGGAACAGGAAACAATCCATGATACAGGAGGAAGGGCTTAAACTGTGGGTTTCTAGCCCTGCTAGTCACCAATTGAATGTGTTGCATATACTACCTAAAGGGCTGCTTCTGTTCTCTGCCTAAAGGTAGAATTTGGCCCCCGGTGGCCATCATGGCCCAGAGTGGGCATTGTTGGTGCCTGATGGTAGTGGGGAGGTCCCCAAGGAGGATTGGTTTCAGCCTGAGCTGTGGAGAGAATGGGCATTCTCAGAAGACTGTCCACAAAAGAGGGAATGGTCTGGGACACTGTCTAATCCCTTCTGTGACTACTCTCAGGCCCTGTGACATTCAGTCATTATACTCCACTATAAGAAGTGAGCAAGCCTTATTTGCAAAGAAAGATTTTTAATCAGGGTTTGCAGACATCAAATGCTCTCCTCTTCCCTGGTCTGCAGATTGGAAAAAGAAAAGAAACCTTAGTACTTTCAGTTGAAGGACTAGAAGGAGTAGAATAGCCTGGAGGAGAGAAAGCTCACAGCAGGGTAGGAGAGCTGAGCAGAAAGCCAGGCATCAGTGCAGTCCCGTAGCCCACCTGCTTCCCATGAGAATGAGAAATCCTTTCTGGGCAATGGCAGGGGTCCCTCTGTCCCCAAACACTGCCACAAAGTGGGAACAGACAAAATGTTGTGGGAGGTAGTTCTAGTCAAGGCCCTTGAAATTGCAAGGAGCAGAGTCCTACTCAGGTTAGCCCACACGACTCAGGGTTTACAGCAGTAAATCATAGATCACAGACACAGGGCAGAATGTATCACTAACCATAGCTGTTTGGAACTAGCACCTAAAACCCACCCTTTAGGTCAGCAGATGCTCCATTCATCTTTTAGCACCTCACGCTTCTCACACTCAGGTGGTTTCTGTTGTTCCATTTTCTAGTCTGATTTCCTTATTGCACATGTGGTCCAACCAACTTCCACCTCAGCTCCACATCAACAACCAATGGCACTCTTTAGACATCTTAAGTGATGGACCATGGCTGGAGGGATGGAGAAAATACCTGGCTTGGCTCATATGTTTGAGTCAAAGTTCACAGTGTAGCCAAAGACAATCAGATCTGGTTTAAGGGTGAGTCCCACAGTATCCAGGCTGCTCTTTCCAGGGCTCAATACTGCAAAGATAGAGCTTGTCTACCACAGATCTTGGAGAAGAGAAAGTTCACAACAGGGCAGGAAAGAGGAGCAGCATGCCATGGTGCCAGTGCAAAGCAGCTAAAATACTCTGGTTTGCTCCTATTCTCCAGGCCTTTGCCCGCATCACCGACATCTTTGAAGTGGAACCCAACAAGATATGTGTGGCCAGCCGGTCAAGTGCCTTTGCCACTGTCTTCTTTACCCCACAGACCATGCAGACTTACCAGTGTGTCTTCGAGGCTACCTTGGATGGCTTGCCCAGGTACTGCTCCTGCTCCCTGCAGGAATACAGCCCCACATTGTCTATGGCAGTGGTCCCTAACCCCCACACCATGGACTAGTATTTTTTTGTGGCTTATTAGGAACCAGGGCACACAGCAGGCCTTGAGCCAGCAAAGCTTTACCTGTATTTACAGCTTCTCCCATGGCTCACATCATTGTCTGAGCTCTACTTCATGTCAGATCAGCAGCATTAGATTTCTTTAATTATTATTATTATTGGTGCATGTTTGCAGTAGGTGATGATTACGTTCATTGTGGGGAGCTGGTACATGTACATTACATATCCTAATTCTTTTTTATCCCCATTCCGTCTTCTTTCTCCACTTCCCTCCATCTCTGTCTCTATATATGACATGTTTGTGATACATAATGAAATGATTGTATTCCTCATAGGAACTTGGTGCATGTACATAACACATCACAATTCCTGTCTTTTTAATCTCATTCCCCACTTCCATCTCTTGGTACCCTTCCTGTGTGCTGAAGACCTAGCTCCCTACTTCCTATTGTTGTTTATTTTGCTATTTTGGGTTTCTCATATAAGAGAAACTATGCAATATTCAAGTTTGAGTGTCTGATTTATTTCACTTAAAAATATGGTCTCAAGGTGCATCGATTTTCCTACAAATGACTCAAGTTAAAAGGAGCTGGAACCCTAGTGTGAATTGTGTATGTGGGGGCTCTAAGTTGTTCAGATCATCCTGAAACACACACACACACACACACACACACACACACACACACACACACGCACAGCTTTCTGCAGAAAAATATTCCACAAAGCTGGTTCCTGATGCCAAAAAGCCTGGAGACTGCTGCCTGCGGGATGCCACTCCTGCCACACGTGCCCACAGGCTTCGATCTTCCTGGTCCCCACAGCATGCTGGCCAGAAACCGGGGCCTCATGTTTGACATTGTTGGTGAGGGAACGCTCCCGCGAGTGACGATCGTGAGGCCGATTCTCTACAACCAGCACGGAAACCCCTTGCTCCTCTTCAAGAAGCTCCTGCTTGGCCATTCTGAGAAATTGCCGCTTGTCCTCAAGAACAATGGCACCATCCCTGCCCAGGTAACGACTGAGGGGGAAGCATGGTGGAGAGGGAGAGAAATGCTGTAGAAGCTAGACTGAGATATTGCGGTCCCTGCCACCTCTTTGACAGTCCTCAAACATTAACCCATGTGTGAAATATGGCCACATAGAGGGGAGTGTGGCACACTCTCTGCCCTCTTGGGATGCAGGAGATTCTAGGACACAGAACGCCAACAACTGACATGCAAGGTAGTGCGCAATGATGTGCTGGGAGGGGAGGAATATACGTTCTTTCTTAGTGTCTTCATTATTTTTCCTTTTTTCCTTTCAATGAATATTACATTTGCAATGAGGAAAAACAATAAAAGAAATTTCACTGAAATGAGAGATGCCATGTCTACAGGGATTTAGGCTCAATTATTAAATTTATGTTTGTATTTTATTTAACATAAAATAAATTATGTGTCATACTGAGGACTAGGACTTCTGGGAATGATTTATCTCACCCCAGAGGACAAAGGAAGATTTATTGTCAATGATGTTGGAGTGGGGCGTTGAGGATGGTTGGCTTGCAGCAAGTGGGTATGGAAGTATGCACATCCCAGGTAGAGAGAAAACTCCAAAGATACAGAAGCAAAACCCAACTCTCAGAAACTGGCCAGTGTCAGCTCTATGAGGTGGGAGGGTATAGGTAGAAGAATGAGGGGAGATAAAAATGGAAGCGTGGAGAATGAGAACAGCCTGTGGAAGGCTTTGGAGTCTATATGTACTTTGAACCCTACCAGACATTATTATTTATTTTGCTTTTATTATTGTTTTTACAAGTAAGGCTCATCTAGAGGTACTCATATATTTGTCATTTTTATTGCTCTCCAATTATGCATCTCCAGTTACCTGACATTCTTACCCTGAGGAGTGAAAAATACTCTTTATTTCCTTAATGTGAGTTGCTAATGTTGTATTCTCTCCATTTTTATTTGAAATCTTTTTATTTTTGGTGCAAGGCTTTCCTAGGGACTGAACCCATGGCCTTGCAAGTGTCCTAACTCTCAGGTCCATTCCCAGCCTTCCTCCTCCTCTGTATAATTCTTGTTAGCTACAGAATTATTTGGCAGTTGTTGTCTGCCAGCAAATGGGAAATTACTTTCCCAGAGTGTTCTGTGTTCCATTGTACCTACAAAGAGATCAACTCTAACTTTAAAATAGTTTTAAGGTGATCTTTTTTTCTGACTGCCTTTAACATTTTCCCTTAGAGTTTGTTTCCTGAATGTCTAGACATTTTTACAATATGTCTAGATATAAGGGCCAGCCAGATAGCTCAGCAGATTAAAGTGCCTGCTTAGGCAGACGCAGGAACCGGGGTTCAATCCCTGGGCTGCCATGCTGGCCCTGCCCCCAAGGCATGCTGAGACCGGCGATTGAGACTGGGCGTGGTGATGCGCACCTGTAATCCCAGGGTTTGGGAAACTGAAAAACAGGAAGGCTCACTATGAGTCAGATCTGTGCAGTGAGACTCTGTAGATCCTGTACTAAATACAATATAGATATAGATATAGATATAGATATAGATATAGATATAGATATAGATTTCTTTCAATTTGTCCTTGCAGTTCATCAGACTTCTTGTTTCTGTGGATTGATTTTAAATAGACTTTGGAAGATACTAAGACATTTCTTTAAACATGGTTTCTGTTTAGATAGATAGACAATTTTATGTGTATAGTGTGTGTGTGTGTGTGTGTGTGTGTGTGTGCATGAGCATCAATCATTCTTACTATATTTTCCATCCTTTTTTCTCTGGGTTTTATTCTATACAATTTGTTTTGAATTATTTCTGCAGTTTAGAGGAGCATCCTCACTCAAATCCGTATGAAAAGACTTGGTCCCCAGCATGGTGGTGGTAGGAAGTACTATGGATCCTTAGGAGGTGGGGTCTGGGAAGAGGCGCTTAGTCTTTGTAGGGTGCCCCCAAAAGAGAATATGGAACCTGCCAGTTCTGAGAAGAGAGAACTGCGTGGTGTATTTGTGGTGCCCCATAGAGCTTGGCTTGAGATGTGACTGCGTGACCTGACATACACTCCCTCCAAGAAGGGCTGCCCCCATCAGATGGCTAAACTAATGAGGCCACCTCCTCTTGAGCTGTGAGCTAGAATTAATCTCTCCTTACCCCATAGGTAGGCTGTGTTGGGTATTTCATTATAGTGATGAAAAGCTGCCTAACACATCTGTCTTCATCCCTTTTAGCTGTTAATCTTTTCCGTTAAAATCTTAATTATTTTTCTTTCAGTAGTAAGAATTTTAATTTTTTTTCAAACATGCATGGTCAGTTTTTATGATTTGTAGATTCAGGCTGAAATTGTCAGACTTGCTCTTCATTTCTTAAATGCACAGTAACCGCTGCCATTCTGCAGTATGTGCCTGATAATTGCAAAATAATCCCTGTGACAGTTTTCACGCCTACCTTCTCTGGTCACTCTTCCTCCTACTGCCCAGTCTCCTTATGCACCTGGTTATCTTTTGTTCCTGTGCTGAGTGTTAACCTAAACTTATTTAGATTAAAGATGGGGTTTTTTAAGATTATTTTTCCTCAAAGACCATTTTTTATTTGTTTCTGCCCAGTATTTGGGGGCACTAGAGATTCAGAATCATTGTTTGCCAGTTTTAGAGCTTGAGATTTCCTGGGTTGCCATGTCTCATGGCAGGGTTGCTATCCTTGTCAAAGTTAGGTTCTATCCAGCTCACTTGAGGTACAGACCTTGGGGTCTTGGCCCAGAAGAAAGGAAGCGTTCTCATCCTTTGAAAGCCTTGGACTTTGACCCTTTTAGAACCAAGAGACCATAAGTATGGCTAAGCCCTCTACCTCTTCCAATCAAAACCAGCAAAGAAAGTTGAGCATCCTTCTGTATTCCAACACTTGCAGACCTTGGTCTGGTACTCTTCATCATCTTCCTCACACTGTAATACTTTTAAATTTTTCTGGATTTACTCTAGCACTTCTTATTGCCTTGAGTCCAGTGTTGCTAGCTTACCATTACTTTACATTGCTTCTGTTATCATGAAACAGATAACAGCTTTTTAACTATTCCAACATCATTCACCTCATATATGAACTTTGAGGAGAATTTCTACTTTCAGAGTATTTAAACTCTCCTCTGGGAACAAAATTTAGAATTCCCACCCATTTATATGAATGTTTTCTATCAATAATTTTATATATAATTCCCACATATGGTTTCATATTAATTTCTAAATGTATAATCTGCCATCTCAGAAGCTTCCTACATGATATCACTCTTTTTCTTTTCCTCATGCCACAGCTTTTGTGGTACTCAAACTTAATCATGACAGTGCTAGTATTACTACCTTCTAAAACATCTACTGATTTGTCCCACACCTAAAATCAGATATCTGACTCTACTCCTATCTTTTCTTCTGATGTGCTGGAAACCACTTTTTTTCCCTGAAATAGGTCAGAAGCCCACTTGATTTTCTCAAAAATACTTACAATGACACGAGGCAACAATATGTAGTGTCTAGGATGGGCTGTCTCTTAGTAATTGCTATTCATGCAAGCCCTCATAGAGTAATGAGTATTTATTTCCACTTCAACTTTATAGCTGCCTCCTCCATCTGTCGCAGATGTTGGCAGCCCCATTTTGACACCATCTAGCTCTATGATCTGGAAAGTCACCTATATTCTTTGGACCTCTGGTTCCTCAAATAATAAGGACGGACCTGGATGAATGAATTCTCTTTTTTCTCTCCAGGTCTAATATTTATTATATCTCTCAAAAAAGAAAAGTGAAAACTAGGTACAGTGGTTTTGGGGGGGTCCTTCCCAAAAAGTATCACACCCCAAATTCAGAACTCATGAGCAGCCTGGGAGCTCAACACTCAACTCTGCTTTCCTTCTGCCAGCTGCACGTGGACCTGCGGGACCAGCTAGGAGTCTTCTCCCTGAAAGGGAGGCCCACCACCTCCTACATCTATATCAATGAGGAAAACAAACCAAATGAAAAAGGTCAGTGGAGGGCATGGAGGGTCTCAATAGCTGATTTGTTGGGACTTCTCGGGGGCCCCGTTGGATACCCACTCTCATCACCAGTTGCTTTTAACAAAAGCTCCTTCCTACGTATGGCTGCTTGGCCTTCAGTTGGTGCCTTATGGATGCATATTGCTTCAGACTGATTCTAAATTACCTCTTCTATCTTCTTTCAGCAATAAAAGCTCATACAGCTTCTCTGATTGTTTCTCCTGGAAACACAGCTGAATTTGATGTCTTTTTCCACTCCCAGAAAGTTGGGAGAGTGACAGGCATCATTCACCTCTCAGTGGTTGACAATCAGTATGAGGAGACCCTCATCCACATGGTGGGAGAGGGCTACAAAGATGACATCACCTTGGACAACATCCATGGGCTGGTGGCTTCCACTAGCCAAGAGGCCTCAAATATTTCTGAGGTCATAGAGGTCACTGAGGAAGACACCATGGATGACTTACTGGCAGGTAGGAGAAGAAGTGGTGAGGTTGCAACAAGCACAGGCCCTTGGGCCATTTTAAATAAGGGGGAAGTTATATAACAGCTTTAGCTTCCTGAGAATTTAGAAATGAATCTTCTCTTTCCCTCCGTAGGCTCCATCATGCCCTTCTTGATCTCTGCTTCAATCCTCCCATTCATTCGTGTTCAATCAGTGAACATGTCCTGAACATTAGTAGCACTCCACTGATCCCTGGAGTTGCAAAGTTTATTAAGAAAGTCTCTGGTCTTATGGAGTTTCTAGATGGATATTAATATGGCAATTAAGATAATAAGTGAATCAATGCTTCCTCCTTATTTTCCCTGCCTGTCTTTTGATTGGCTGTTTTAGCATTATCTACTTCATCTAAAACACAGACCCTAGTCACTCTAGATCAGGGGACTGCCTCAGAGAGGACACAGATGTGTGCTCCTTCTAGAACATCATTCTCCACACTCGCAGTATCTTGAGTGTGGGTGCAGTATCGGAATCACCCAGAATGTTAGAAATGGGAATCACCCACCCTGACCTACTAAATTGGCATCTGCATTTTAACCAGATCCCCAAGTGATCTGTGTATATGCTAAAGCTTAAAACATGCTGCTCTGAATTCTCTCATTCACTGAAGCTTTATTGACCATATTCTTTGGAGTAGAAAAAAATTACCTCATTGTTATTATCAAAAATACATTTATTAAGCACTCTAATTGTATAGTTGGTTTCCATAACATGAGCTATAAACACAGTCTCTAGGTTTTTCCAGGAGCTTAATTATACTGCTGGAATGTAAAATTAGGGGCTCTATGCAACATGGATTGAATTCCCCTTACACATTTAATGTCTCACCTTTGTTTGAAGCTAGATAGAAATGTCTGTCTTGTATCAGGGATTAAACACAAGCCAATAGTAAATCTAAGCTCAGAAAATCAGATTTAATATCAATTATGGGATTGCCAACATACAAGAGTTCCCAATAAATTTAAATTTCAGACAAACTATAAATAATTTTAGGATAAATACACCCCCAAAATATTGCATGGGACATGCTTATCTTAAAATTATTTCATTGTTTATCTGTAATTCATATTGAATTGTATTTTATCTGTCAATCTAATTATACTTATTCACCAAATAAATGAAGTTGGAGCTCTATGCTTTCTCTTGTACAAGTGAAATTGAGGACCAGGTACATGGAAGGATGAATGAATGCATAGATGGATGCATGCATGAATAAATAGATACATGAATGCATGCGTGCAGGCATGGATAGATGGATGCCTGGATGGATACATGCATGGATAGATGGATAGATGGATACATGCATGGACACATGGATAGTTAAGTAAATTTTCCTGAGAGGAAGTCTTGCTACCCAGGCACTCCATGTTTTTCAAATATAACCATCCAGAGAAAGAAGGCTTGAATAAGAGTGAGGTGCTATGTCTGTCAGTCTCTGCCTCTTCAAGGAAGCAGGCCTTCCAAGGCAGCCATAGAAGACTCAACCAGCCTTTGCTCCTAACCCCTAGCTGCTCTCGTGGACCACATCCAGTTTGGGGACTGCCACATTGGAACCAACTATAGTGCAAGCTTCACGATCACTAATCACAGCCAAGTGAATGTGATACGGTTTGAATGGCCCCTTTTGGCTACCATTTCTTTCTCCCCACAGGTAAGTGAAAGCCTTCCCCTGTGTTATAGACTCTCACAGGCCTCAGCCCACATCAGTCTCATCATCAACCCATTACTGTGAATGCAGGGAATGAAAGAGATGCATCTCAAGCTAGAACACTGTTCATGTCCCCCCTGGTGTTAAGAGGGGAAGAGCAGAGAACACAGTCTGCCAAGGATGTTGCTAGGCTGAGGGCAAGGAATTTTTATTAATTTTATTAAGTGTATTAGTACATGTGTGCAGTACATAGTGTTTACATTCCTTATGGGGAGTTGGTGCATGTACACAATACATCTGTTCCTTTTTTCATCCCCTTTCTCTTCCCTCCCCTTCCCATCTACCCATCTCTTGATCCCCTGCCTTTTTTATTTTTCATACATGTTTGTGGTACCTAATGTTTACCTTCCTTGCGTGGAGTCAGTACATGTACATGGTGCATTCATATTCCTTTTTTTTCACCCTCTAACTCTTCCCTTCTCCACCCCCATCTCTCCATTACCATTCCCCTTTGAGAGTGAGCTGTCTCCTTATTTCATAGGGTCTACCTTTTCTTTTGCTCCTTATTTTTATTCAGAGTTTCTCATGGAAGAGAAACCTTGAGATATTTAAACTTGTGTGAGATGAGGAATTCTGAGGAGTCCTGAATAGCTGAGTACCACTCCCAGCTTTCCTATCCCAAAGCATGGGTCTGGGCTTCCTGCATATGTGTTCTTCAGAGCACTTTAGCCCTTCAGAAGTGGTTCTCCAAAAGCTAAGGGAAGGACGGTGAGTTCTGTGTACAACAGAGATTTAGAAAACACTGCAAGTTACACCTCTCCCATTTGGGGACCCCAAATGTCACTAGATCATGTTCTGAGCACTGCTAGTATACTGTATTCATCCACCTATATTTGTATGGACCATACTGATTAAGTGTGAGGTGGCTGCTTGTGGCACTTGGAGCCTCACTGTCTGGGTTTGCCGCCACATCTTCCAATATTAATGGAAGCAGCTTACAGGTTTCACAAGTTATCTATGAAATGGGAATAATCTGTGTACCTCTAATAGGGGTATTATAGGGATTCATACAATTGTGTAAGTCTTAAAGCAATGCCTGAAGTAAGTAACAGTTTTATCATCACTGGATGTACTTTTTATTATGATTATACTTTCAAGGTCATCGTATATCTATTTAAATTTATGTATCTATATAGGCTTGGGTGATGCTTTCTTTTTCCCCCAAGACTTGTGGCTTTACCCCTCCTTTAGACTGTCACTATCAAGTATCAAGTGTCCTTGAAATTAAATTCTTAGAAGTACTAATACCGCTGGGAAGATGGCTCAGTAGAATAAGTGCTTCCCTGGCAAGCGCAAGGGCCTGAGTTCAATCCCCGGTTCTGCCAAAAAGATAAAAATAAAATAAAATAAATAAATAAAGATAAATATAAAAAAGAAATACTAATACCAAGCTCTTCCCTAGATGGGCCACCTCCACCCTGGTTGTGCTAAGGACATAGTGGTGACCATGAAGTCTGACATGCCCGTCAGTCTGAAGAAGCTGGGGATCAAATGCAAGCTCTCCAAGATCGTGTTTCAGCTCCCTGCAGACCAGGTCCCTGACTGGGATGACCGCATGCGCACAGTCAAGTGGGTAGATATGCCCAAAAACACAACAGGAGCCCCTCCTACAAAACGAAAGGTAAGTGGGGATATCAAGCATGAATATGACCCAGGCTGCTATACTTGGCTGTTACTGCTCTCAAGTCCAGTGTCTCAGGTCCTTCTCTCCTAGAATACAGGAAATGTTCCCATTCTTTTGACCTTGATTTTAAAAGAGTCAAGCTGAACTCCCACACATGCCCCTCTACCCTTACTACACATAACCACAGGAATACCCATTTTTGTTGGTAGAGCTTTGGCTTAATCTCTACATAGACCATAAATGACCTGATCATATATAAAATTTGGATATACCAGACTACTTTTTCTTCTTCAAAAGTGCATTCCTGCAACTTGAGGTCATACTCATCAGTGAAGTAGATTAGACTCACATTTGCAAGCATCATATTGTCTTTCTTGTGTGAGAAATAGAGTAAAGAAGATCTAAAATGTACAATGGACAGAGTGAAAGGGGAAGAAATTGTTCAAAAGGAAAAAGGAACTGGCATGGGTGACAGGAGATAGGACAGTAGGGAAAAGGGGAAAATGTGAGTGAGTAATACTATTAGTATCTCTTAGACCATTAAAAAGGAAGGCTTTGATATCCGACCAACCCCAGGCCCTGCAAGTATGCAGGAGAGCTTCTGCTCTGTCCTGTGCCCACCCGCCACTCCAAGCCCAGGCCCTCAGCATAAGAGGCCATTGCCCTTGTTCTCTGGACCTTCCCCGCCTGGCCAGACCCAGCACAGCCCGCCATCTGAGTAAAACTTCTGCTGCGCTCTTGGGAGTCCTGCAGGCCCACCAAAACACAACACTGGTGAGTGTGTGGAGAGTTTCTGCTCTCTCTCGCCCCCACTCTCCATACCCATCCAGACCCAGCCCAGACCTAGCATGCAGGCTTGAGGTAAAACCCTGCAGCTAAAGTCCCTGCAGTGAGACTAGGGTCAAAACCACACAGCTAATCCAGGAACAGATCATCTTACCAGAGGTGTACAGCAGGCTCACCTCCAAGGGCAACAACAGTAAGGAGCTGAGCACAGTAGCCAAACCCAACCCAGGCACAACTGCATGAAGTAGAACTTGGTATATCAGTACCCAAATTTCATTAAGTGATAAGGACATAATTGCACCAAAGCTCTACACCAAAGGCCAGAGGTCAGTGTTAAATGAAATGATAAAGACAAGGAGCAAAATGCAATCTCAGGCTTCAAGACCACCCATAACAAGTGCAGAGGACATTAGCTCAGCTGAAATAAATGAATCAATAGTGTTGGAAGTAAATAAACAATAGCAGAAAGATATAGAGGAACTCAGAGCAGCATTAATTTCTGTAATAAAAAAAGAAAACTTTATAGCAGCTGAACTTAATAATCAAATGCAGAAACATATGGAGGAAACACAATGCCCAACCAGAACAAATTCAGTGGACACTAGCTTAGCTGAAATACATGAATTAATAGCTTTGGAAGTAAATAAGCAATTACAGAAAGGTTTAAAGGAACTCAAAGCAAAATTAGTGTCTGAAATGAAAAAAAAGAAATCTCTAAATTCATAGCACCTGAACTAAAGAATCAAATACAGAAACATAAAGAGGAAAACCAATCTGTAAAAAACTTCAGTAAAAGAATTAATAACTGCTTCTAAAGAAGACATTGATAAAAAAATATATATAGGAAATTTAAAAAATGATGGATTCCTTGAATGAGCAATACAAGAAAGAAATAGATCGCATGAAGCAGAGTCAAAGAGATGTAGAGGACCTTAAAATCTCAATCACAAGCCTGAAAAACCATTTGAGCGAAAGTGAAAATAGAGTTTCAGATGTTGAAGAAACTGGTGCAGCTAGTGAAAAGGTAAGAAAGGATCTCTTAAAAACAACTAGGATGCAGAAAAAATATAATTCATCACCTGTAAGATGATGCAAAGATGAACAATGTGAGACTAATAGGCCTCAGTGAGAATGAAGGAGTCATTACAAATGATGTAAAAAGAATATGGCAGAAGTAATAGCAGAAAACTTCCCAAATATGAGGAAACAATCTGATACTCATGTCACCGAAGCATGCAGAACTCCAAATAACTTCAACTCAATTAAAAACACACCGAGACATATAATAGTCAAGATCTCAGAAATCCAACACAAGAATATCATACTGAAAGCCACTAGAGAAAAGAAGCAGATCACATTCAAAGGAAAACCCATCAGAATTACAGCCAACTTCTCTTCACAAA